AGGTGGTACCGATATTTTCCCGTGTGTTTTAGGTTTCAGGATTTGTTAACGGTGTTTTAAATCAAATTGTCAACATAAATAACTATTATGGGTCTGTGGGTTACTTTGATTAATAGTTTTGTAAATCGTTTTTATCCTTTGATGTCTTGAAATTTATTGGAATCCACCTGCTTTAATGTTAAGCCACAGATATAAGGTAATAACGTAGTGCACATAGATGGAATGTTCTGTTTTCTATGTGGCAATCAAAGGCTAGGTCACATATCAACAAGAAAGGAATTTGAGGTTAGTGAAATGGTGAATTTTGACGCCTTCAATTGGATTTTATCTAACTGGGACGTGTGTATAGATGCATTAAAAGGTAACAAACTAAGCACACATTAAAGAAATCCAGCCATAAGAAGCAGTGAATTACTTGATCTTATAACACACTAATATATGTTAGTCCTTTTTGATGTTCCCTCTTGGGGCGGTAGAAAAAAATATTTTATCAACTTTATCGATGATTTCTCACGGTAATGGTTTATTTTTATTGTTGTATGAAAAGTCCATACAATCAGTGAATATCCTTTCAGAATATTCCCTTAATGAGATAGAGAGACAGTTAAATAGAAGTTAAAGATTGTGAGATCATGATAGAGGTGGGTTTGGGGGGGGAAAAAAAAGAAAAATATTATGGTAACATTGAAGGAAAATGGACAATGTAAATTTGATGAAAATGGACAATGTCCAGGACCATTTGCAAAGTTCCTAGAAAGTCGTGGCATTTATATGCAATACACAATGCCGGGTACACCTCAATAGAATGGTGTAGCTAAAAGGCAGAATCGTACTCTTATGGAAATGGTTAGGAGTATGTTAAGCAATAGTATTGTACCTTTATTATTATGGATGCATGCATTAAAGACTGTTGCATACTTGCTTAATAGGGTTCCTAGTAAGGCAGTTCCTGAGACCCCTTATGAACTGTGGACAGGAAGGAAACCTAGTTTAAGGCATCTTTATGCTTGGGGTTGCCCAGCAGAAGTTAGGATATATAATCCACATAAAAAGAAGCTTGATGCTAGAACGATTAGTGGATTTTTCATAGGATATCCTGAAAAGTCCATAGGATATCCTGAAAAGTCAAAAGGGTACAGAATTTATTATCCTAACCATAGTACGAGAATTGTTGAGTCTGGTAAAGCTCGATTTTTTGAAAATGGCCAATTTAGTGAACTACGTAATGTGGATGTGCAAGAGATTCATATTAGAAGACCAACTCAGGTGTTCTCTCCTAATATCTCTTCTTTGGTTGTTGTTCCTCATGTTGTATCACGGTTTAACAACATGGTTGATGTATCACGGTTTAACAACATGGTTGAACAGCAAACAACATTCTAAACCCACAAAATGAACATATAAATGATGAACCAGTTCATAATGAACAAGTCACGAATGAGCAAGTGGTTCCATAAGAAATAGCATTACGGAGGTCAAAAAGGTAAAGAAGGCCAGCTATTTTTAGTGATTATATGGTGTACTCACTTGAGCATGAATGTGAATTGAGCATCGAAAAGGATTCCGTCTCTTTCCAAAAAAGCCATAGAATGTGATAATTCTGAAAAGTGGTTTAATGCTATGAAAGAAGAGATGCAATCAATGAGTGATAATCAAGTCTGGGACTTAGTTGAGTTGCCTAGGGACTTAGTTGAGTTGCCTAAGTGTTCCACTTAGTTGAGTTGCCTAAGTGTTCAAAATAAGTTGGTTGTAAATGGGTCTTCAAAACCAAATGGGACTCTAAGGGCAACATTGAAAGATATAAGGTCCAACTTGTTACTAAGGGTTACACTCAGAAGGATGGCATTGACTATAAAGAAAACTTTTCTCCAGTTTTCAAAAAGGACTCTTTAAGAATTATTTTGGCTTTGGTGCTCATTATGATCTAGAGCTTCACCAAATTGATGTAAAGACAGCCTTTCTTAATGGTGACTTAGATGAGGAAGTATATATGGACCAACCAGAGGGATTTGTGGTCACAGGAAAGAAAAATTTGGTGTTTGGTGTGTAAGTTAAAGAAGTTAATATATGGACTGAAGCAAGCTTCCCATCAATGGTATCTTAAGTTCAATAACACCATCACTTCATATGGATTTATAAAAAACACTGTTGATTGGTGTATTTATATGAAGGTCAGTGGGAGCAAGTTCATTATGTTAGTTTCCTATATGTTGACGACATTCTTCTTACTGCGAATGATGTTGGGTTGTTACATGATGTAAAGGATTTTCTCTCTAAGAAATGAAAGATATGGGTGAGGCATCCTATGTAATAGGAATAGAAATATTCAGTAATAGATCACAAGGATTGTTAGGATTGTCTCAAAGAGCTTATGTTGACAAGGTATTAAAGAGATTTAGAATGGAAAAATGCTCCAGAGGAATAGTTCCAATTCAGAAAGGAGATAGGTTCAGCGAAATGCAATGTCCTAAGAATGATTTGGAAAGTAAAGAGATGGAGTCTTTTCCCTATGCCTCAGTAGTTGGGAGCTTAATATATATTCAAACATGTACTGGATCATATATTAGTTTCGTTGTAGGAATGTTAGGGCGATATCAAAGTAATCCCGGGATGGACCATTAGAAAGCTGCGAAGAAATTACCTAGGTATTTACAAAGCACTAAGGATCATATACTCACCTATAGAAAGTCCAATCATCTAGAAGTGGTGGGATACTCGGATTCAGACTATGCCGTGGGATACTCGGGATACTCGGATTCAGACTATGCCGGTTGTGTAGATTCGAGAAAATCTACATTTGGCTACTTGTTTCTCCTAGCTGGAGGAGCAGTTTCATGAAAAAGCGGAAAGCAGTTTGTCATTGCTACTTCCATAATGGAGGCCGAATTTGCGGCATGCTTTGAGGCCACTGTTCACGCATTGTGGTTGTGGAACTTTGTCTGAGGTCTAGGTATTGTCGATAGTATAACTAGACCGTTGAGAATTTATTGTGATAATTCCGCAGCTATTTTCTTCTCTAAGAACGATAAGTATTCTAAGGGTGCAAAGCACATGGATTTAAAGTACCTATCTGTAAAAGAAGAAGTGCAAAAACACAAGGTGTCAATTAGAAGAAGTGCAAAAACACAAAGGTGTTTCAATTTGAGATATCGTTAACAAAAAAAAAACCTTTTATACTCGGAATGATAGCGATCCCGCTAACTCAAGGCTATGTCGCCCCAGAAATCGTTCACTGGCCATGTTCAGTAGAAATGGAGCATTCATAGATAAGGTCCTTGTAGCATGATGTTCAGAACTTGTACATGTTAATATATAACACACATGGTTTATTCTTGCTCATCATTATCTGTGGACACACTCTGGGAATTCAATTAAAGATGTTTCCATTGCGTATAGTTTATGTGGTGATATCCCACATTATTGAGATGTACTACCAATTAATGGTTTTGAGTGAGGATCAACAATAATGTTTGATTATGTAACAAGTGTATTGTTTGCTTGAATCATTTCTCGATTAAAGTTCGATTATGGTAATTGAGATTGGTCTGTATGTATGGGAAGGGAATTCTGTTGATTAGCATGACTTGTGACCCGACTCATAATCTGCATCACTTCCAATATTCTAATTTAAGTTGGACATGATAAATTGCAAAGAAATGTTTGATTGTAACAATGTATTGTTTGTTGAATCATTTCTCGATTAAAGTTCTTATGAATTGAGATGGTCTGTGATGTATGGAAGGAATCATGTTGATTAGTGACTTGTGACCGCCATAATCTGATCACTTCAATTCTAATTAAGTTGACATGATAAATTCAAGAAATGCATATGGGTCGAGTGGTAGATTATTGTAATAATCTATGTGGCCCATGTAATCAAAGGGCTGATTTTAATTAAGGTGGTCTAAAATGATGGTTATTGGGCTTAATGGAATGAGGACCAATTAAGGTTTTAATACCCTTCCTCTGCCTTATAAAATAAACCAAGAAAATCAACAGCGTATGTTAAAAGAGAGTGACGGCTACCTCAAATATATAGCGGTGATGGGTTGTTTGAGAGAACATGAAAAGATAACTCCCATTGCTGTGGATAATTCTCTCACCATTAATAGAGAACTTACAGGCAGAAGGTCAGGGTGAAGAAACATAGATCTACTGTTACGGTGATAATCGAATTGTTGTAACGAGGTAATCAATAGCTATGGATCAAGGTACGCTTCTGTTTATTGTGTAATTTTATTAAAAAAATTCTATGAACAATAAGATCTAGGCTATATTAAAGTATATAACATTTTATTCTTTCTTTCGTGAAGGTTTACTTCCTTCTTTGTAAAGGTTTATTCTTAACAAGGTATGATATTTAATTTTATTTGATTGGAAAATTTAGATCTTGGTTTGTTGATATGTATCATCAATCAATGGAACCTAGTAGTGCGGCATATTCCTCCATTGATGATATTAACGCATAGTGGCTTGAACTCATCCGTGTACGTCACACGCAATAAGTTTTTGGAAAAGTAATCCAAGCATAGAAAATGAGAAAAAGTTATTTTATCATCCAAATCAATAAAAGAACCGGTTGCTACTATAAAGATTTATATCGGTCAATGTTATCTTTAAGCGGAAAAATCCAATATTATTTCCTTTAATTTTAGTTTTATTACTCAAAAGAATATAGATAATTCTTTTGTTGTTTAAAATATCAACGAATTTACTATTAATTATGATAGTAAATTTATGTCCAGTCTAATTGAATATTTATAATACTTAATTTTATTATTAATGAATTATATTTAAAAAAAAATTTCAATAACAAATGCTATTTTGTTTTTTAATTTTCATAACTTAATACATCACCACGGTGCAGACAAGGAAACACTGTGCAGTACACAAGTTCCCATCAGTTGCTGTTTTCACTAATTTTATTTTCCCTTTTTAAATGAAGAAAGTGGGGCCCATTCTTCATTTGGATGGACTTTAATCGGTGTTTGTCCCTCCGTATAGTCTTACTTGAACTTTCGTTCTTTAATTAAAGATCTACACTACTCAGAGTCTCTCTCTCTCTCTCTCTCTCTCTCTCTCTCTCTGTATTCTGGCTCAAGCTTAATCCCAGTTGTAACTCTTGATTCCGTTGTGTCTGGGTCTTAAGTAGTGTATGTACTCTCTCCTTTTCTCTCTAAAGCTCTATACCATTTTTCACTACTCAAACTCTCACTCTATTTACTGACTGATAATGTTTGTTTTTTATTTCTGGGTGGGATTATGTGAGTGCAGTTAATTTTCCGGCGAGATTTGGCCGGAGAATGGCATATATGTGCGCAGACAGTGGAAATCTAATGGCAATAGCCCAACAAGTGATCAAGCAAAAGCAGCAGCAAGAGCAACAACAGCAACACCATCACCACCAGCAACAACTTTTAGGCCTAAATTCTTTCCCTTTGAATCCTTGGCCTGCTTCAATTTCTGCAAATCCTAATCTTGGTTATGCTGGGCTTACCGGTAGTGGTTTCACAGAGCCGTTTCAGGTTTCCGGCGGCGGAGATACCGGAGAACCGGGGTTTCAGTTTCCACAGATGGAGCATCACTCTAGTGGATTCAGATTTTCGGATTTTGGCGGTGGGGCTGGTGGCGAGTTCGACTCAGATGAGTGGATGGACAGTTTGATAGGTGGAGGAGACTCAACGGATAGTTCGAATCTGCCTTCTGGTTGTGACGCGTGGCAAAACAATGCTGATTTTGGTCTCTACGGCCCTGATCCGTTTACCGCTTGCCCAACTCGTCTTAGCGTGGCTTGCTCTCCGCCGTCCGATCTCAACCGAGTCATCTTCACAACCGAAACCCAGAAAAGCCCTAACCTGGTCACGGCTTGGGCTCCATCTCCACCAACTCTTCCTCCGCAAGCGGTGCTGAAAGACACAAAGCCAGCTAACCCACCTCCACAATCCACTCTCAGAAACGACGCTGTTGGTGTATCTTGTAGTTCGCCGGAAATCGAGTCAGCACCAGAGCTCTTAAAAGCTTTGCTCGAGTGTGCTCAACTAGCTGAGTCAGAACCAGAGAAAGCTGTGAAATCGCTGATTAAGATAAGAGAATCGGTATCTGAACATGGAGATCCAACTGAAAGAGTTGCTTTTTACTTCACTGAAGCTTTATACAGCAGAGTTTCTCTACAAGCAGAGAAAAGCTTGACTATGTTTGAAACGACATGCGAGGATTTTACTCTCTCTTACAAAGCTTTAAACGACGCTTGTCCTTACTCAAAATTCGCTCATTTAACAGCTAACCAAGCTATTCTAGAGGCTACAGATGGAGCAAGCAAGATTCACATAGTGGATTTTGGAATCGTTCAAGGAGTTCAATGGGCTGCCCTGTTACAAGCTCTGGCCACTCGTTCTACCGGAAAACCTGCAAGAATTCGGATCTCCGGTATACCCGCTCCAGTTGTGGGTAAATCGCCGGGCGCTTCTCTCCTCGCTACCGGTAACAGACTTCGCGATTTTTCAAAGCTCCTAGATTTGAACTTTGAATTCGAGCCAATTCTGACTCCAATCCAAGAATTGGACGAATCCAGTTTTGGGGTCGACCCAGATGAGGTTTTAGCCGTCAATTTCATGCTTCAATTATATAATTTATTGGATGAAACGCCAGTTGCTGTAGAGACTGCACTAAGAATGGCCAAATCATTGAATCCAAAGATCGTCACTCTAGGCGAGTATGAAGCGAGTTTGAATCAGATTGGATATTTGGACCGATTCAAAAACGCTTTGAGATACTACTCGGCTGTGTTTGAATCGCTTGAGCCAAACTTAAACAGGGACTCAACTGAAAGGCTCCAAGTTGAGAGATTGTTATTGGGTCGCAGAATTGCTGGTGTCATTGGGCCAGAGGAAGCAGGAACAAGAAGAGAACGTATGGAGGATAAAGAACAATGGAAGATTTTGATGGAAAGGTGTGGGTTTGAATCAGTTGCACTAAGCCATTACGCGATGAGTCAAGCTAAGATACTGTTATGGAACTACAATTACAGTTCACTGTATTCTCTGATAGAGTCTCAACCTGGGTTTCTATGTTTAGCCTGGAATCATGTGCCTCTGCTTACCGTTTCTTCATGGCGTTGATGGGTTAGCTTGGCTTGGTACTTGTTTTCCACCTGGTAATTTTTCTCCGGTGTGGAACAGAACAAATTTAGTGCCTATAAACGCCATTGATGGGTGCTTCTTGACCGGATACATGAAACCAGTCTTGGCCTAGTTGTAATTGGTTATTCTTAACTGCAATTATTATGGATTTAGAAATTAATTACTTAGCTGTTAGTCTGAGTTTGGCCTTTTAGATATTTGGTGTTCTTTTTTAATCATTATTTTTATTATTGGCTTTCATGGTTTTTTTATCTTTTGTTTTTTGAAACCTTTGAGTATGACAAATTGTAAAAAAAAAATAGGGAAATGAAATTCGTGGAAGCAAAGTAAAGTTTCTTTCCCTGAAGTGTCTCTGTAAGTCTGTACATAAATTTGAATTTCTGATATGGGATTTTATTTTAGTATTCTTTTCTGTCTGAAGTAGACTCTAGGTATTAGTGTGCATGTGCAAGAGCGTTTTGTTTTTTAACCTGATGACGCCATTTTTTTCTTCTTTGTTTTCTTTTTCAAAATAATTTATTTGTATTCTTAAAAATATTTTTTAAATAAATACTTTTTTATTATTCAATGGTAATGTCTAAACTAGGGTTTCAAAACGGGGGGGTTAACGTTGGGTTCGATACGGATTTGGGGGTTAACGTTGGATTCAATACGGATTTGTTTAACACATGACACGATCAGAGTGTTAAATTTCTCAACATGAACACGAAACAAAAATTAGACAGATGACATGAATAAGAGACTTATAACCTGTCTAATATTATAAACAGATTAAGTGGGTCATATTGATCCGTATACGATCCGTGTAACCCGCCTAATATCATAAACAGGTTAAGTGAATCGCGTTGAGGATCGTGTTGACCTGTATATGACTCACTTAAATTGCTTATGATATTTTTAAATTTTAACTTATTTAAATCAAATCATGTTTAAAAATAAATTTTATATATAAAATGTATAGATTCTCTAAAATTCATAACTAAAATAACAAAAAATTAATACAACAATAAATTTTAAATAGTGTTTAGTTGGGTATTTATAAATAAACAGATCACTCGCTTAACCTGTAACACGACACGTTTATATTCATATCATAAATCAGTGATCCGTTTATGATATGAACTCGTTTAACATCAACCCTAAATATTTATTTTGCGTGTTAGACGAATCATGTTCGCATGTCAATGATCCATTTTGACACTCCTAATGTTTGAAATTAATTAAACCTATTCTCATTTTTATTTCTAAAATATTACTTTTTGAAAGTACTTTTAAATAATTTTCCCTCAAAAAAATCTTTTTAAATAATTAATTTTTTATTATTTGTTTGAAATATCAAAATTTAGTTAAACATTAAAATATAATTTGTGTTATTATAAAAATATTTTGAATCGTAAAAATTTCATAGTTTAAAATTTTATTGTTGAATACTAAATTACATAAAAATGTAAAATGTTGGAGACCAAAAGAATTTTTCAAAATCTGGAGGATAACAAATTAATTTTCATCAAATTTTCAAGTAAATTATAAAAATATTTTGGATTAGCAGTTTAAAACTTTTTTCTTCCATCTAATTATGGTAGTCGTCTACTACTTATGCTAATGGCAGACTTATTTTATTTATTTATTTCTTTTATAACCAAAATGTATAATTCCTGGGCTTTAAATTCCAAAGATTTTTTTTACTTTTCCAGTAAAGTGATTTCTTGCAAAGAATGAATTTGTATTTTCTTTATTACATAGATCACTCGTCGCCTCATTTGATATATTATTTTTTATTATGAATAATGATACAGATATTAACTGTGTTTGTTAATTGCACGAATTCTTTTGAAATCACTTCTTAATATACTTTATCTTTTAATAAATGGGCATTTATGAATTCTATTTCTTTGTAAAATTTATAAAATTTTTTTTATTACAATATGTTTATAAATCTTATGAAATGATTATTTTTTTATAAAGAAAATATGTTCTTTGGTTTTTGATTGGAGCATAGAATATGTGTATACAAAAAAAAAGTATTATTATTTAAAATGATTTAATTTTTTTTAATTAGAAAAATGTTTTTCTACTTAATTTTTTAATGCCTTAAATATAAAAAATTAAAAAACAAATTTAAACAAAAATTTTCTCGAAATAAACCGAGCTTTTACTATGTTTTTTCAGTTTTCTTAATGGCTCACTCCAGGGTACCCCATTGTAACGGTACGAACAACTCGCTTTACCGGTAATTTTGTGTAGCAATCTCTATAAAGATGAATGAAATCACATCAAAAGTCGCTTTTTGCTTTCCTTTTTTTCGTTTCTTCTTTTTTTTTTTTTTAAAATTTCTTTTTTCCGAAACAATGATCCAAGTTAACCAAGGTTAAGATATGAGCAAATTAAGTATAGGTAGGGGCCCCTAATTTCTTTTTTCTTTATTTTATAGCACAGAACATTTTATATTGTTTCATTTTGGCACTCACCTTCTCAACTTGCAAACATCTTAGCCCCCTCTCATTTTCTTTTGTTTCTTGCCATCTAACAGTTTTATATTTTTTCATTTTGTCCTTCACTTTGCAATTTTTCTTTTTTTTATTTAATTTTTTTTGCTTCAATTATTTTTCCCCCTATTTATAATAGGTTTTGGTAATTTAATTGAATATCAGGATGGATTTTAGAGTTTAATTGGAAGCATTTTGACCATTGACTTGATATAAATTGGTCCTGAGGGTATTTTGTAATTTGTCGTATTGGAGGTAATTTGGGAGTAAATTGAATGTATTTTAATATGAGAATAACTTTTTGGATGTCTTTTAAAGTATTTTCAAGTATAACAATGCCTCCAATTAGTTTCGAGGGTATATCTATAATTTTGGAAATGATTAATTAATATTTTATTATTTTAATCTTTTCACTTGGATAATATTGAATTTTAATTCTAGATTGATTTAGATTACAATTACAGTGATTAGAATGTTTTCCGAGAAAAAGGATGGTAAGGAAATTGAGATAATTGGAGAAATAGTGGCTTTGGGCAAATTAAATAAAAAAAACATTATTTGAAGAACTAATTGTAATTTGCCTAGAATTTGAAAGAAACAAAAACCCCTCTTAAGTAGATGTAACCAATCACTTCTCCAAGCAAAAAGAACAAATAAAAAATAAAAGAAGAAGAAGAAGAAGAAGAAGAAGAAGAAGACAAAGTAGGAAGGAGAAGAACGAAGCAGCAGTTTATGGGCTCTCTTTTGCATTCTTTTTGGGGATTTGAGCCGTTCTTTTTACATTTTTCAATTAAAATCATTCATTCTAATTAAGTTTAATTAAATTAAATTTTGGTTTTAATTAAATGAAGTGAAGAAAATTGGATTTATGTATGTACATGCATGTTTGGAGCTCCCCCTATGACTTTTATGTTTTAGATTGAGCTTTATTAACGAGAAATCATTGTGGGTTTGTGGATACTTAGGGGTGGAAGTGTGACCGGTATTTTAGAGTATCCAATTCGTTCTGATCCGTTTAATGAGGGTACAGATAATTATAAATGAGTTTTAGACGGATACAGGTGGTGAAATTACTACTCATAATGAATCGGATAGGGTATAGGTATTAAACTCTGGGTACCCACTATAATAAACGGTTTTGGCATGGATACTTGCAGGTACCCTGCCCATTTATGAGTAAAAAGATGCATTTTACATAAGTTCGGATTTGGATAATTTAAAATTGACGAATACCCTACCCATTTCAAGGGTACTTTAAACGGATTTTGGACAGATACAGATAGTAAAATTTTGAACGGATTCAAATACGGGTACTTAAATGAATATTTAATCGGGTTTAGAATGTATATGGATAGTAAAATTTTAAATAAATATGGTTATGGGTAGTCTAAAATTTGCGGATATCCACCCGCTTCTCTCCCCAGTGGAGATGTCGTGATTTGATGCTGAAATTGATTATAAATAAAAAAATTATGGATTTTAGGTTAGAGTTATGTGTTCAAAGTTTTTGCTGATGTTGCATGATTTTATTTAGGTATTTTAAAATGAAAATTGATAAGGTATTCTTGGGAGATCATGATATATTATTGCAATAAAATATAACCAGGGTTTGATTAAATTAATTTGAGATTTCTAATTAATTTTGGTTAATTAAAATTAGAGGTATTTAAAGATTATTGCAATTAATTTGAAGTCTTTATCAACTAAACTGGGAAAATGATAAAGTGATGCTTATGGATGTGAGCCCTTGCCAAAAACCTAATTGTATCATTAGTTCAATTAATTAATAAAATTGATGATATACATGACCAGTTAAAGGTATTTGGGAATACCTGTATCACAAAATTTATATCTGGAATTTGGTGTCCACCATCTTCTACCATGGCTTGGAATGTAAATGAATCCAAAGGTGACAGGCCTAAAAATAGTAGGCTCCATCTTGATTCAATGAAAACTCGAGTTTGACTTTGAGGCTCGATTCCAATTCAAAGAATGTTAAGCTCGAACAAGCTTTTATATATATCATAGTGGTATCGATTTGAGAATACGTTGCTAAAAATGACGAATTACCGCGTAGCCCATTTCAAAGGGAGAGTCTAATGTACTTCAATTACGATTTTGCGGGTTAAGCGAGATACATATGACGCCAATAAAAATTGTTCAACGCGGTCATGTTCATCATAAAATACTGAGTGGACGTGACTCTGACAATGAATGGATGAATATTTTAAAATACGGTTGAGGATTGATCTTGATAACCTAGTTATTATGGGTACTAGCCTTAAGAATTTTACTATACCAGCGATAGAACTACTACTGCCAGTATATGGAGACGTGGTCGTGAAGAATTTTTGCGGATGGCGGATCCACATCCCGAGGCGCCTTCTCTCGCGCAGTGGGGAGAAAAAGAGGAGATCGTCCCTGTTGTATGATTTTGTTGAGCTCTGTTAAGAGTTCTGAACTTTATTGAATAGATTAAAAAAATTAATATGGAGACTTTTTAGGAGTGAGTGAGAGGTTATGTAGGGTGATTTCAAAAGAGTTTTGTTGTGGCTGATGTTGCAGTCTCGATATTTAAAATTTAGGCGGGTATTATCTGAGATAGATAACAACTATGATAACTTAAGTGTTATATACTCTTGGTATTTTACTGAGATTCATATTTGACGTGTAATAATCTGGATGGATTGCAATTTAAAATGGAGTAGCTAACCCAGGCCCGCCTTTTCTTGATATTTAAAGATAATTTTGGACCGATGTTCTAAATTAGGAATCTTGTTGTCGGTTGAATTAGAAATCTAGAGGTATTTAAAGATTATTGCGCGACATTACACGTTATGTCCGGACGCAGGAGTCAAATTGATCAACCTGAAACTGGAGTTGTAAAAAGTGGTAGTGAGAAGTGATGCGCGTGTGGATTG